CCCTCCTCACATCTGCAAACATCATGGCTCGTACAAGCACCCCTTCCCCGTTTTGCATTACAAAACAAAAACGGCCTTCTCCTTATCAGGGGTCTGTCAGTACGAACATGTCTGGCATGCAGGGATTCCACTGCGGTGGTTCGGAAAATATATTTTTGCTACCACTGCAAATGCCGTTTCCCCTCCCCAAGCCTTTAAAAACAAACCTGTCCCACTTACAAATCATTTACCGCAAACTCCAACTGGTAAACTAACCTTTGGCTCTCTCCGTTTAGCAAACATCACAGCGCTGAACACAAAAGCTGCAATTATTTTATTAATAGGCTAATTATACGTACAGTACAAAATCTGGCTGGTCAATTTCCATGACAAACCTAATTAATTGCCAATTTGATTAATCCACAGGCGGTCCTGGGATAACCTGGGTGCCAATTATGCTACTGTATTGTATACAGCATTCGTACAGAAAACAAACCATTGCCAGGAGCCCTTTATCAGGAGCGACAGAGCAAATTAACATTTTAGTCAATTATTCCTAATCAGCAGAAGTGGTATTAATGTAAACAAGCAAACACCAAAAGCTTCTAAACCTGTAACTGTTGCTGCAGATGCAACCAAGTATGTTTCTTTCCACATTCTGCAGGCGGGTCACCAGTCCCTGCTCTAGTAAAGGGACTTCAGAGTGAGCCGGCACACATGATCACCTTGAAGAGCGCCTCTCATCCCCTCCAAAGCAAAACAGGGTACTAAAGTCCTGCGTACTTTTAACAGAGCCACAAACAGCAACGTCTCCACCCTGTAGTCCTATCTTGTCGGCTCTCTTGGGAGCAGATTCAAACAATGTCAAAGTCATTGATCTTTCAGCCCTATCCCACATCTATGCATCACAGGTCTTGCGTCTCGCATAAGCATATTCCAGGCTAGAGGACCCTTCACACCCCTCAGTTTAATGAATCCCAATGACTCCCCTCAGAGCACAGATACAAGATGTCCTCATTAAAAACCAATCAGGTGCAGGCTCTCATTTATACCTGTGGCCGTAGCCTGGCTCGTGTACGTGTGTATTGCCTGTTTGTGTTTCTCTTTACACTGTCTGCTGCACTAAAACAAATTACCCCTTGGGGATATCAAAGACCCTCTCTAAAGCTAAGCAAGGCCGGGCCTGGTCGGTCCTGGGATGGGAGACCTCGAAGACAGCCTGTGCAATAAGCACTCTTCCTTCTGCGCAGCTGCTAAGTGAATCCCCCCCGTACGGTGACCGGAGACTGTGTGTGGGGCGGCGTGGGTCACCCTTCAGACGAGACATCAGATCAAGGTCCTGACTACATGGTGCTCATGGCTCTGTGCCCAGGTGGAGAGATGCCATCCCTTGACTTACCCCACTCCGCCCTCCCTCAATCCCACTGCTCCCTTCTGCACCCAGTCTGCTGTGTAGTGGGACTACAATGGCTGCCACACCCCACCCAGGTGGGGGCTGCTCCTGAGTGGGTGGGGGAAGTGGGCTCCTTCTTTCATGGGAAGCACTCTGGGATACCGTGTACGCTTTGGGTGGAAAAAGTCTACACAAAAATACAAAACCAATGTTATTTCCAATACACCAAACTGCTTCTCAACCCAACAGGCTACTATATGACACATCCTGTGTCAGTGTGGTGTTAGTGGGGCCAGTAGGGGGCACTCACCCTGCAGCCTATGTGGGTCCTTATGCCCCAGTATAGTGACGGGGACACTACACCATAAAAAGGCGCCGTCTTTTGGATGAGATGTAAAACCGAGGTCCTGACTCGATCCCAACTGAAAATCCCAGGGCACTTCTCGAAAAGAGTAGGGGTGTTACCCTGGCTATATTTCCCATTGGCCTTTACCAGTCATGGCCTCCTAATAATCCCCATCCATGAACTGGCTTCATCACTCTGCTCTCCTCCCCACTGAGAGCTGGTGTGTGGTGTGTGTACTGGTGCACTATGGCTGCTGTCGCATCATCCAGGTGGGGCTGCACACTGGTGGTGGTGGGGAGTCCCCATCACCTGTAAAACGCTTCAAGTGGAGTGTCCAGAAAAGTGCTATGTAAGGATTGTCAACATCCTGCAGAAAAAGCATCTTACACAGAACCCCCCACACACACACACACTCTTTGGAACACACTTCAACACCTGACAGAGTGCGCAGCTTCACTGCAACCTTCTTCTTGCTCAGCACATGATCTCTGCTGCCTGGCCAGGAAGGAGGCTTGTAATAGAAGAGACCACTTTCACACACCGTTACCTCCTGAAGAGATACCTATTTAAGGGGGGGGCTTTGAAATGCACTGTAGCAAGGGAAAAACCGAATCTCTTGTCTCCAAAAGGTTGCATACAACGGTAGGTGGATTAATTTCGAACGACCACTGTCTTTCAGGGTCTAATAACCCCTTTCGTCTGATGTTCATAACGGTCCCCTTCGAGCAGGGCAACACTTGGCGTTTCTCGCCGTGACACGTCTGCTCCTCCTCACAAACTGAACGCGCCAGCAGAGGAAACGGTGATTCAGCGGATCCCCTGCACAAGGTGGGCCTGGTAGCATGACGTCAGCTAATCTTGACAACAGCAGCAGGTTTCCAGGGCTTTAGAAACTGCCTTCAACATCCATCATTCCCCAATTCAAAAAACACCCCGGCCCGTAAAATGATCTAAGGCAATACGTTAGAGCTTCCTGACGTTTTCATTGATACCGTTTGTTAAAAATAATAAGGGCTATCACAACAAACAGGCAAAGTGCTTCAAAAAAATCAATCAACTGGTTGTGGAAATGACCAATCGTGAAATAATTTAATATGAAATTTAAATGTGTAAAAAATAATTTAATATTCACCTTTTTTTTCTCCAAAAAATTACGATTCATACCTTCATGCTGCTGCATAGCTAGTATAAACTAATGCTTGTTATTTGGGTGTAACGGAGTTTCAAAGGAAACATTTCGCCTTCAAAACCGCTGTGACTCTCTTTAAGGGGATGAACGACACCTACGGCTCAGAGCCTTCTTGGTATGTCTGGTTACTTGGGGCTAACAGCAACTAGTAGTAGAAACGAAATCGACACTACTAGTTTATCTGCATCCATCACTCGTGAGTTGTACAAATCGCCCCAAAAAAACGAGCACACATTTTGTGACACGAAATACCTAAATTTTAAAATCCCCCATACAGTCAAACCTAAACATTCAGCAGAAAAATAAAAAAAAAACACATTCCCAACGACCGGTGCCTCCTCTCATCATACTCGGGGAAAACTATCCGGCTTTTCTCATGACATCGAAAACCGAAATCGTTTTAAGACTCGCGCCAACGAAATTGAAAGGGAGGGGGAAAAAAAATCAAATACATTTAAAAAAAAAAATCACACGACAAGACCGAAAACAAAAACGCTGCTTTGTGAATCGTGTGCAATAGACGTGTGACGCGACCGAAAAAGAAAAACACACGCACACACCGCGCCAAGCGATTTATCTTTCAACACGACGCGTGAACTCCCGCATCCATCTCCTGCGCCTCGCAGCATCCACACAAACTCAAATAAACACACACACAAAAAAAAAAAGGCCAGTGTCGAAAACGTACGATCACCCGTCCCTCCTCCCCGAAATAAGTAGTTTTATTCGCAGCTCAGTTAAGTTCTTGCGGTGGGGGGCCGCTCCGCATTTCTATTTACATCAGCGGAGCTAAATGCCCAATGGAGAGAGCGGAGCCAATCAGATGGCGGATTAGATGTCAGCTCGGAGGCAGCTGTCTGGAGACTACAGCCCAGTTTACCTCCACAATTCAAATTCCAAACCTTGCGAAAGGAGATCAAGTCGCTCGCAAGCGCGGCCGGCCCGCCGGGCGCTCGTCGGCAGCTCCCCGCACCGCGCCGGGGTTCACGCCGGCGGAGAGCGCAGGTCGCCCGCGTCTGATACAGCCCGCCTGCCTTTCTTCTGTTTATTTGTTGTTTTTCTGGGGGGGGGTCCTCCACCTGAGAGGCCACAGTCGTTATTGACTTGATCGACGTTATCGATCCGCGAAAATTTTACTACGGCGATGCCGGGGCTCGGCCCGCCACCCACCGACCGCCCGCCCGGCCCTGCGCGCTGCCCATTTAACGTCGCTTTAAAAGACGGCCCCGTACGCCGTTAACGGCAAGTTGATTAAAGAAAAGCAAGCCTATTATAATGAGCGAAATCCTCGTTGTGTGTGTGTGTGTTTTTATCCCCCCCTCTCCCAATATACACGTATGTAAAACGCACGTTAGTACACAACTCGCCACAGGACGGGCCTGAGATTCAAAGAGTGACGGCCGATCTCTTAAATATCATATAATTTCCCAGTCGCAGGCGAGTGAAATGTACTTACAAATATTATACAAGAAGGACACATCCGATTTATGAATATTCATCACGCCACATTTATAATACTTTATAAGTTTAAGCGGCGGACGAGAATGTTCCTGGGGACGATTCGTAATCCTCCACGAGGATCAAACGAAAGAAGGACGGGGGGAAAAAGCTGTAAAATATATGTAAACAGTAATATAACGTAAGACACGGGTGCGTTTACGTTCAAATACCTGATTATTATGAAGATCTTTTGTGCATTTGCGATCACGTAAGTCACCTTGGACAGAACTTCCAGCCCCCGTCCTAACTTTAAAATCTAATAACAGTCGACATCACAGGAGAGAGGGGTGGACGCGAATAAATCCAGATATTTTAAAGAAAAAACACCGCCAACAACAACAGTAGCAGCAGCCAAGCCGGTACGAAATAAAGCAACAACAACACCCCCCCAAAAAAAAAAGAAAAAGGAGGGGAAGAGAGGAAAACAGCCATTTGATTTAGTTACACGGAAAAAAAATGTGCGCTCAGCACGTTAAAAAAAAAAGTCAGACATGACGAACCCACTAGGTTTTGCAACTACAACCAGACGATAAACACAGACCTTCAGCATGAGCTTCCCGAGAGCACGCCGTACAAAACCGAGAAACATTTACCTGAGGTCTACTGATAACTTGTCCAGTGTTGCCAGGACTCATGACAGGGTGATTTCTCTGATGTCCTCCCCAGCCGTGGGCTGTGGACCCGTACTGGGAACTCGCGTCTTTGCCCAGCCCCACGCTCGCCTGCTGCTGTGGCGGCGCGGCGGGGCCACTGTACTCGGGGTAGCCGCCGCCGCTGAAGCCCCGCATCATGGGGCTGGGGGACGTCAGGAGCTGGTTGAGAGTCGGGGTGGCCCCGGACGGGTGCTGGCTCTGCCCGGGGAACCTCTGAAACCCCCCCACGCTGCCCCCAGGAGCCGAGGCAGCAGCCATAGCAATCTTGCCATGGCCAGCAGCGCTGCTGTGGCTGTTGCTGCCTGGGCCCATCAGCGTGTGACTCCCCTGCCTGGGAGAGCTCATGATCCCATAGCCTGCGCCGCCGTAGCCCGGTCGGTAGCTCGGGTAGTGGTTGTACTGGCTGTTGTGGTACCCTTCGTGGGAGTTTTGAACGGAATCCATGCTGTTGGGAGCCGAAGGATGCATTATCCCCATCCCAGGGCTTTGTTGTCCGCCATGTTGATCAAAGCAAGGGCCTCCTCTAGCGTTGCCATAATAATTATTAAACTCGGGAACAGTGCTAGTCGTCCCCCCAGCACTTTGGGGCTGGCTGCTGTTGTTGCTGTTGCTGCTGCTGTTGTTGTTGTTCGCTGGTCCCAAGTTGGCGTGCTCGTACCTGCTGCCCATCTGATCCCCCGATTTGCAGGCACGGCCCTCCTCTTCACTTTTATTCAGCAGCGGCTGCTGCTGCCCGACCTGGTTTCCCAAAATATGCTCTTTCCCTCCATGTTGCCGATTCTCCGCTTCCCCCGGTACCTGCGCCTGGTTGCCGCCGCCGCTGTTGCTGTTGTTGTTGATGTTGTTGTTTTGGATTTGGTGTGAATGGAGCTGCTGGAACTGACTGAATCGTGGTGGCTGGGGCTGTGTCGGTGTGTGATGGTGAGACGGAGGAGGGGGATCTCCGCCACCAACATTTTTCAGTTTGTGATTCGCTATCAAACCCGTCTCCATGCTCGAAGAAGTAGCCGAATTTGAAGAAGATAAAGATGCAGCACTATTGACGCCCTCCTTCTCTCGCAAGTCCGAAGTGTTATTTGCAGAAGAAGAAGTTGTATTGGCCATGCTCAGCTCGTTATGGTGGTGGTGGTGGTGGTGGTGATCTACATTATTCATAGTGTTAGTTCCATCTCCAACTCCCAGAATTGCTCCCGATCCCTGTACCGTTCCCCCTCCCGATTTCCCAGAGTTTAAATCCTGATTCAGACCGCCGGATAAATTGGGATTTTTACTACCAGTCGTCGCCGGAGACGTTGTCACTTGCGCGGCCATGATCATTTCAACATTTCAGGCAGTAATCCAAACAGGCTTAGACCGAAAAAAAAAGAGGGAGAAAAAAAAGAAAAAAAAACACACAGAAGGAGGAAAAAAAGGAGAAAAAAAACAAGAGAGAAGTGCTCAAATGAACGAATATCCCGCAAACCGTAAAGTTCTGGCTGTACTCGGAAACGATACTGTCTCACTGGCTCTGCCTGCTCCCGCGGTGTGATTTCATGTTGAAAGTTTTTGTCCAGGTTTTAAATGAAACTTTTCTTCCTTTCCTCTCTAACCCGGATATGGGTAAATGCATGTCTCCCTGTGTCTCTCTCGCCCAGCATGGCACAAGAGAGAGAGAGGGCTCTTGCAACTATTATCCTGCTCTTTCTTGCGATTCGCGTGGAAAACGCGGACTGGATTTCTAGCCTCACCCACCGGGCTGGCAAATCCCACGTTGACCAGCCAGCGGTGTACGCGCAAGCCTGGGACGTGTTTGACGCAGATTTACTCTTTACGGAGTAAAATCAAGGATGTTTTTTTTTCTCCAAAACGGCCGGGGGAAGTCGGTTCGATCATGTTGTGGGGTATTAACAACAAACGCCCCCCCCCCCATACACGTTGCTGGTTAAATCATATATATATAAATAAACTTTATTTTTATTTGGCACCTTTAAAAGCGGCTTCTCAAAGCGCCTCACTGTGCAACAACAAAACAAAATTAAAAAAAAACATGAAATATAAGCACGAGTGTGCAAAGGAGAAGAGGTAGTATATGGGGTTACAGTAGGAGCAAAGAGGTACATAACAGACCCGGTTTAAGTAAAAGTCCTTCTAAAAAAGGTTTTGAGTCTTGATTTGAAACTCTTTAAAATCTTCATTGAAAATTGTGATTTTGATATTTTTTTAAGTATTCCTCCTACAGAATGTTAGCCAGAGGCAGAGGGGTTTTTCATAGTTGCCTTTCTCAACCACAAAGAGCAACACGACGATGAACCGGCTTTTAAAGGTATATTTACACATTTCCAGTTTTCCTCTGAGTGTGTGTGTGTGCTGTTCATCTCCAGACCACACAAAAGACCCCTCAAAGACTGGTTTCTGTGCTTTTAACAGCCTCTCAGTCGAGTAGGAAGCAGAGTGTAAAATGAACAATATCTTTATTATTATTATTGCACTTTTTGAACTCCATTATCTCGAGAATATCAGGGTGTTGCAGAAGAGAGTACGTAAATAGGCCGCTATTCAAAAGGTTACCGTAGTAAAGAACATACACAACATCATCCCTATAGTTTTGTAGTGTTTGGCATACATGCAGTTTACAGTACTTTAATGACTTTTGGTACCAAGTTGCTACTAAGTGTGAAGTGTATGTCTCCTTGAAGCAGTTACATTAATATGCGTTTTAAAATAACGACCTACAAACTACAATTTAATTTTACACTTAAATGAAATGCTTTCGTCACAATAGCAAGCGTATTTGGTCAAATTCGGCATTCAAACTAAACCTTATGACACTGTAACCGCGACCGCCCGACTCCTGCTGTCCACGATCCCTCGGCTGGGGGATCCGTGCTCCGTGCTCGGAGCTCCAGTCCACGTATTCCCTGTCTCCTTTACCCCAGGCTCAATTCATTTTTCTGCAGCTCTGAAGAGTCAGGCAGTATCACACGCAATCACAGGATCTCAGCTTTAATATGTACACAGAATAACCAGTAACTTTAAACAGTTAGGAACACTTTAGTCGGGGACGTTGCATTGCCAAGAAACGACAGACTACGGCTGGGAACCGTGCGGCAGGAAAAGCCGTGGCGAAACGCGTCAACTTAAAAATAAAACGCGTTTCCATCCCTCCTTTATAATCGGCAACATTCCTAGTTTTTAGAGCATTTTCTCAGTCCCTGCCTGCGTGCTGTTCCGTCCACCCCCCTCCGCTGAACGCTTCAAACCGTGTCTCGGGTCGACCGTGTCATAACAAGAGAACACACTTTTGCCTAACAAGGAAGCTGGACGCCCGCTGCGTTTCTCATCACGCTTTAAACGCAGGGCCTGCTGTAGGTTTAGCGATATATATATATAAATCTCTTTTTTCTTCCACGAAACGGAAGCACGGGGAGTTGCTCACAGCCGCCGCGCATACATCATAGTTGTCAGTAGAACGAAGGTGACGTCATCCCCGGGTTAAAGATGCCTCTTTTGTTCTGCCGGGTTACGTCCTCTCCCGCTCTCCCCGGGACTGCTCTCCAACTACTACCTACCCGACGAGCAAAACCGACAACAGCAGAAGTCCCGCGCACGTTGCACGATTGAATCGCGCGTGTTTCCACCACCCAGCCAAAAGCTGTGAAATATAATAACGAGCGCAGCTCAGGCTCCTGAGTCATTTTGATTCCGAGCCCGCTGGGTTCTGCTGACGCGGGAAGGTTAATTGCCGTTCCTGCCTGGCTGAGGTGACTAGTCTCAGTGATCAGAAGGGGGCAAGGGAACAAGACACCTGCAGAGGAGGATAAAACCAGTTTCCTGGGCCAAACCAGGATGGGTTGTTGACACGGGCAACAGCAGTAGCGCCATATTTTCAAAACACGACCTGTTGAGGCAAAGCCGTTGGCTGAGACAAAAGAGAAATTTTGTCAATACGTGTTAGCATGATAAACAGGAACACAGTGTTACTGGTAAAGCTGCCTTCAGGTTTAACAGCCTGGGCACATCACCCTGCAACTCGCTCAGAAAAACTAAGGTTGCTGCTGGAAGAGGTGTTAGTGAGGCCAGCAGGGGGCGCTCACCCTGCAGTCCATGTGGGTCCTAATGCCCCAGTATAGTGACGGGGACACTATACTGTAAAAAGGCACTGTCCTTCGGATGAGACGTAAAACCGAGGTCCTGGCTCTCTGTGGTCATTAAAAATCCCAGGGTGTTTCTCGAAAAGAGTAGGGGTGTAACCCCGGCGTCCTGGCCAAATTCCCCCAGCATGGCCTCCACATAATGGGCGGAGAGGTGGCTCTGTGGCTCAGGATCTGCGCCTGTGACTGGAAGGTTGCCGGTTCAAATCCCGCGGCCGGCAGAGGAATCAGAATCCTACTCCGTTGGGCCCCTGAGCAAGGCCCTTAACCCCAACTGCTCCAGGGGCGCCGTACAATGGCAGACCCTGCGCTCTGACCCCAAGCTTCTCTCCCTGTCTGTGTGTCTGTGTCTCCATGGAGAAAAAGCTGGGGTATGCGAAAAGACGAATTCCTAATGCAAGAAATTGTATAGGGCTAATAAAGAAACATTAAAAAAAACATTAACATTAATCCCCATGTATGAAGTTGTTTCATCCCTCTACTCTGCCTGGGAGGATAACTGGTGTGTGGGGAGTGTACTGGTGCACAATGGCTGCCGTCACATCATCCAGGTGGGGCTGCACAATGGTGGTGGAGGGGATCCCCATTACCTGTCAAGCATTTTGAGTGGAGTGTCCAGAAAAGTGCTATATAAGTGTAAGCAATTATTATTATGTTTGGCAGTTAACAGCTAATTGATTCGATGATCTCAAGATCTCAACGTATCGGCTTCGGTTACGAAGTTCTAGACACCCACTACTACCCCTTGTGTCTAAGAGGCCCCTCCTGTAATCAGGGGGTGCACATGTACAGGACTTCCTTGTCCTTGTAGTTTCCAGTTGTGTGCTCTGGTTGCGGTTTCACTGCTGTTTCTCGAGAAGTTCAGTGGGCTGTCTTGGCCTGTGCCTTTGAAGATTTTAAACACTTTGTAGTCGCCTGTGTTCAAGACAAAATCGTTTCATTTCTTTCAGCCTCTCTGTGTAGACCACTCCTTCAGGCCCAGCCTCTAACTGGGCCTGTAAAGTATGACAAGCCCTATATAAAGAGAACTGCTACTACTTGGCTATCATGTGTTTATTGTCCTGTGTGTTTATTGTTCTGCACTACCCATTGTATGTTGTGCTTTGTGGTACTATTACTGTTTTGTAATGTACTGTTCACATTGTGTGAAAGTGTTGTCTATTTTACTGTGCACGTTCCAAGAGAACAGCGCAAACACAAATCCCAGTGTACATGCACACAGAGCAAATACTCTCCTCTCTCGCTGTAATGCAGGTAGGGATGATTCATTTGGATTGTTCCAGAAATATTATTAGGTTCTGGAACATCTCTGGGATTCTAATGAACACCAATTCATTCAAAGGCATCGTGGAATTAGTAAAACACAAGAAGAACATTTGTTTACTTCTCCAGCTGAAAGTAAGTTTTGTTTTATGGTGGATCAATAGCTATAAATGACTGAAATCTTTCAGGAACTTATTGTCTGACACTTTGCCCATTAGCTACAGTATTTGTCCAAGAATATAAGAGCAGTGAGACGAGGATTAGAACTGTCCAATTGCTTCAGTGGAACAATTGTGCAAAATTTACATTCTTAGAGCTTCTCTGAAATTTAAAGTGTGTTTGCATTCTTTCACAATTAACTCTGTAAAATACTTATTTTGAAGAAAATATTGTTTACTCATTTCAATTTCATTTTAATGTCATGGTATGACATTATTTCTTCTACATATGCCTATCTTGATATCTAAATCACAAAGTTTAATTTTCATTTGTTATTATTCCACATCTTATAATGTTATTGGTTATTTAAAAGCATTGCAGACATGTATTTCAAAATATACATTGGACAGTTTTATTTTAAGAACGTAACAGAAACGCGTGTGTAAATGCATATGTTATGTCAAGCATAAATAGATTTGGCTTAAAGACTTTTCAAAGATCTTTCAGCTGTTCGGTTCTTGAGTCGGCAGGTGATGGATACTGAGAGCAGACCTGTACACTGTATACTGTATTTGCAGAGATGTCAACAACCATTAGTATCTGGAAAATCAGAAAAGCCCCCTGGTGGCAGGCTTGTGAAAAGAAAATGTTTTCCTCTTTACAAAATATTGGTCACTTGGGGCCTTATTCATAAAACATTCACCACAAATGTTACGCCCGTTTTTCTTATTAAAAAAGCAACATTTTGATGTCACAAAGCATTACACTACTTTTACAACACTGTAGTTGAAATAACCCCAATATATATATATATTAATATTTCTTTTTCTAAATTTGTTTCAGGGACACTTGTCACCATTTGTACCCATTAATCTGGCTGTGTCTGACTGCAGTACCTTACTCAATGACACCACAACAGTGCCCCCCTCCCTAAGGAATTTGAGAGGGGGGGTTATTTGGGGGCTTTCTTTTGTTCGTCCAGAAGCTCCAGGTTTCCTTATTTAACTGCGTTTTTCCTCTCAGTGTTCCTGACTTTTGGGCTGTGTGTCCTAATCTCCAGATCATTTTAAGAAAGGGTTTTCCTAAAACGTTTTCCTAAAAGTTAAATTTAGAAGTAAAAAGCATGAAGTGGAAATGTTCCGCGATGAAAGCCTGGAATGACGCAGAGAGAGAGCTAGGGAAATGTGTAACAATTCTGCTTGCTTGCATTAGTTAATCCATTTTATCCCTGT